CCGCCCGCCCGCCGGCTGCGGGATGGGGCTGGCGGCTCCGGCTCGCCCTGGTCGGGGCTTTCTCCCACCCCGCTTTTATTATTCCGTCGGGTTCCGGCAGCGGGGTGACCCCCTCCTGCTCCGCGGGTTTTGGGGGAAAAAGTGCCACCCAGCGGCACCCCGGGGGGCAGGTCAGCGGGCGCAGACGCCGGGCATGGCCACCTGCCTGCCCCGGGGTGCCGACGGGGGCTGCGAAGGGATGACTGGGGGCTCCCCAGCTCCGTCCTGTACCCCGGGCAGGGGCATGGCCCGAGGAGAGGTGAAGGCAGGCATCCCGGTGCCCTTCTATGCAGGGGTATATCGGCAAGGGGAGGAGCAGAAGCTCCCAGCAGGGCTGACCCTTCTGTCTGCCCTGGTGCCTTCCAGCACCCCGGAGTGCCCGTCCCAGATGCTCCCCTGGGAGATGTCTGCTGGCCTCCACCTGGTCCAGGAGCTCTCCTGGGTGAGCATGTTCACCCAGGCTGGTGCACGTGTGTGTGGCCAGGCAGGCCTCCCTCCCAGTTACTGGCCATGCTTCCCAGTCTAGGATGGCTGCAGGATGCTTTTTGTCTTGGATATCTTTTATTTACCCACTAAATCCCGATGTTCATAGTCACGTGCAACTAGAAGCATTGGTGTTTTCTCATAAGCAGGGATTTCACTGGCTGGACACCTCTCTCTGGTCCTTACACATGTGTTTAAAGCTTGTCTCAGGGAGAGCTGCTGTATGAAAACCAGCACAATGCGATGGGGTTGCACTGAGACCTCCAGCACGCTGCAGCACTGTCTTTGCTTGCGCAGGGGTGGCTTGGTAAATGTCACTTGCACAGGGACAGGGTCTGGCAGGCATCCCCCTCTCATGCTCCCTGCCTATGGATTAGTAATTTGCTTTCCATACATTCCAGCAGGATGGCTGCAGGGAGCGGTGCAGCTTGGTGTGGGTGCAAGCGGTGTGACGGGAGCTGGAGCTCCAGCCCATGCCTTCGCAGGGGTCGTTGCAGAACCGGGCACTTGCATACCTCCCTTTTTAACCACTGGTTTTCTTGGGTAGTCCTGCTCCATGGTTTGTCATCGCCCAAAGCTGACCGCCTGTTCCTCTCTGGTCCCTCTCAGCTAGGCACGTTCAAGTCTGACGATGGGGACTATTTCGTAGAGCCGCTGCTATCGCTCGAAGAACAGGAGTATGAAGAAGAGCACAATAAACCACATCTAGTCTACCGACACCGGACACCTCCAACCAACGCTTCAGGGGACAGGCAGACTTGTGATACTCCAGGTACTCGTTTTGTTACTGCCCTTGATGACTTGGCACTTACGAAAGGGAACTAATTTGTAGTAATTAGTAGGTTTGTGTGGGGCAGAAGGGATGTGGAGTTGAGGGACGCCTCTAGAAATGGTACCACGCGCGCTAGGACCGGGCTTGTGGTAGTACTGCCGTCCTGGAGAGACGTGGTGCACCTGTGCTTTCTAGGAATCGGTTACGAGGAAGTTGCGGTCAGGAAAAACATTACGGTTTCCATTTCATCCCTGCTGTAAGGCTGGCAAGAGATCCTTTGGGCTGTCTTGCCTTAAATATCCATGAGCCTTTAAACTTGCTTTCTGTCCTCTCCCACCTGTTATTTCTAACCATCCTAATCTCATTTGCTCTCTGTCTGAAATTCTGTTTCTGTACTTTAAATGACATCCTTCTGTCTTGGTCTTGCTGTGCTCCTGGTCTTCCCTCCCCAAATCTGGTTGCGAGTTGCAATGTCTTGTTTCTTTTGAGTGGAAATGAGAAGGTCCTAACGCCAACCCTGATGGTTCTTCCCTTATTGCTCACTTTTCCATGGTTCATTTTCAAAGGCTTTTTTTTTTTTTTTCCCCTTGTGGCCCTTCCTCCACCAGCATCATCTCCCTGACCTCCTCGTTCCCTCTTTCTAGTGTTTGCACATATGAAAGAGCACAAGCCTTTTTATCTCCCCTTCACGTGCCTTGGTGAGCAATAGCCTTGCTCCTACTGTCCCTATTATCTGCAGTGGCCTCCTGCTGCTCTCTGCTTCGTTGACTTCCTGATTTTCACAACTAATCCTCTCCTTTGGCAGTAAATACCTAAGTTGTCTCCGAAGAAGCTTATTTCTTCGGTTCTCCTGTTTCACTTGCTGTTTTGCCCTCCTCCTTTGGCCTACAGCTAGATCTGCAGGAGCTTTAAAGCCTAAACAGAGTAGACCTTGACTGGCTTCCCTTGTGCAGGCTGCAAGCCGCTCACGTGCTGCAAAGTAGGTGGAGTTGCCCAGGGCGTGAAGGTACCACTGGAGGAGAAGCATGGTGCCAAACTTAGACTGCATTTAGCACGCATGACCCGTTTGGCACCCGTGACTGTGGATCGTGGCCGTGCTGTTGAGCTGTTGGTCTGTTCAGCTTGCACTGATCACGTGCTAAGTCAGAAGATGCTCTGTTGCTCTGTGACCAGCCAGAGCTGATGCACTAGCAACATGTGTTTCTTCTAGAAGACATGTGGATACATGTCCACATGCAAATATACGTGCTGGGGGACAATGGTACCTCTCACAAGGCTGTCGTTGTTTGTTCTTCCAAGGGTTGCTGCTGGACTATGCCATTCTGGTTTCTCTCTTCCAGCTGTTTCTGCTCCCTTCTTTGAGATCAGATGCAGGAGACTCAGAACAGTTGGAAAGAAACACGGAATCTGGCACATTGCATCAGTAGCCCTTGGAGGAACGGAGCAGCAGATCACAGGACTCATTGAATCAAAGGTAGCTGGGAGGGCTCTGGCGTTCGCTGGTGGACTTTACTCTGTGCAGTTATAACAGTCTCTGCTGTGTTTCACCCCACTTACGTGTATCATAGCTTCTATTTAGGGTATTATTCTTCTGGATTGTGATTCACAAGAATGATACTCCATCCGTGATATTACCTACGTGGTGTATATCTCCTCCTCTTTTCCAACATGCTTTGCCTTTGGCTTGTCTTTGTTTCTTTGCTCTTCTCAGTTGCTTGGTGTAGTGGAGGAAGGAGGTCTCGACTTTCAAATACAAGCTTAAGGGTTCCAGATAGGCGTGACAGTCTTACTTGTCCTCCTGTCCTCTTCCCCTCCATCTCTCCCTCTCCCTTTTTGCCCTTGTCCAAGTTTTTGAAAGGGAACGATGATTTGGTCATATGTGTATGGTGAACAAGCCTTGGTCACTTCATTTAAGGAGCAAGTGCAGGGCAGCTTGGGTAGTGCTGAACCTTGGCATTCCCCTTGGGGTTACATCTGGTGGAGAGAAGGTATCGCTTGTCTTTGGAGCAGAGGGGAAAACGCAAAATCTAGCAGCACTCACTGTTTTTCGATGGGGTACATCTGTCACTCCTACCAGAAGAGAATGGTTTTGTGAGAGTCTGAGAGTTTGTTATAGCTGTAGGGTGTCGTGCAAATCCAGCCTTCTGTCAGAAGAACATGTGAAAAGGTGCGTTTGCATTGCAGGCTTCTGGCAGGGATTGAAATTTGCTCAAAGAGGAAATTCATGCAAGGGAAATCCTAAGTACCCACCCTGCAGTGAGCAAGGCAGCCCGCGTTGCCGGGCAGTGGGGCTATTAAGAATGGCTTTCTGATAGTCGTCTTCCTGGAAATGATTAATAAGCAACGTACTGGTGTGCCCTTGCCATGATGATGTAATTATGGACTTCTTGCAGTGTCCAGGAAAACTTTCCCTTGTGAGCTGACTGACAGATTGAGTAAAAGCTTTCATTTCCAGTGGTCTCCCTGGTGTTACTTTTAGTTTTCAGCATCCTTAGGTCAGCTTAGAAAAACAGGTATTTGATATAGTTAAGTTTTAATTAGCAGTTTCTGATAACAGTTTTAGGTCCTCTGACATATGAGATACTCTGCAGATGTTCTGAAAAAAGATCTTTCTTACTCTGAACGCTGATGGATATTGAATGCAAGCTGTGCTCTGCACATGAACTTTCATAGCACAGCACCGGGGTTTCTTGGCAATGCACTTCAGCCGTCTGGCGTATAGCTCAACCGCCGCAATAAAAACTTTTGACAAAGTTTTCCTTGGGGTAATGGGTTAATGTAGTTTCAGTCATAGGAAATGGTGCAATTTCTCCCCCTTCCCTTCTTTTAGTTAGTACTGTGAATCAATTTGTCATCTGGTTGAGGATCTGGCAGAATAATTAGTTGTGTTTTACTGAATAGCCCTGACGGGATGAAGACTTGGCCAGGCTGACAGCATGGTCACTAGGTGCAGCGCCGCTACCACCCATCACTTCATGATAGCAA